TCGTTTGGTTTTAGGGCTTTTAGTATTTCGATCGTAACCGAAAAGTCGTCAATTATTTCGAATTGAGCTAGTGGTGGATTTTGAAGAACGCACTTCATTCTACAAAACAAGACGCTTTCCAGGATTCTACGATATTCCTTCCAAATATTATAGGTTAGACGAAAAGAGAAAAAACAGTAACGCACAGACACTCCGGGAGCAGAGTTAGGCGTTTTTCATGCGAGGTAGAGTGTGATGAATTGAAAGGGTGAAGCGGACTCCTGGACTTCTTTGAACTTCAACGGATTTCTGTCTAGAAGTTCCTAGTACGCTTAATATTAGCCATTTTCTACATAGAATGTCTTATTTAACAACTAATTCGTAGACAAAGAGATGATCTAACTCATGTTTCTCCTATCAAGATGGATCCACGCTTTGTTAAATATACGTTACTTTTGACCGTGAAGAAGAAACAGGTAAATATGAAAGCATCTCGTGTATAAAAAGTTCAAAACAAAAGGATAGAAAAACCACGGTTAATTGCAAGGGGGAAAAAGCGGACTCCTGGACTCCCATGGACTCCTGAAGTCCAGGAGTCCAAGAGCAAAGTGTTCATTTTTGGGAATCACTTCCCAAAAAAGAACAAAAGTGTTCATTTTTTGGAAAGTGATTCCCAAAAAAGAACACTTTGCACTTGGACTCCTGGACTTCAGGAGTCCATGGGAGTCCACTAGTCCGCTTTTTCCTCCTTGGTTAATTGACAATAGTAGAATAGAGGTAACTAAAAGATAAAGAATAATAAGGCAATAACTTGATGAAAAATTTGACAGCTGCATAATAAAATATTAAAATTAAAACTAAATGATAAATCAAATAATAATTATAGTTTTCTTCTCTTCAATGATCTGGCTGGTATACTTGAAGCTGGTGCAGAATTCCTGGATGCTTTATTATTCCTATTAGTTAAATTAAAAATTAATAACGCTGATAAATATTTACACAAACAGTGAACAATCTGGTTGATAATAGACAAAAATTATCCCATATCGACAGATCGTTTAATCTTGATTCGTGCCTAATTAATCATTCTCACTTTTGATGCGCTCTTTGATGTTGTCTGACTTTAAAAAGTCAATTAGGGACGAATGGAGAGGATACCCGACAGATAAATTATTTTGAGTAATTGATACAAGCAAAAAAGAATAAGAACAATTCACGTTTTTTTCCATTTTCTGTCTCCTTGTAGAAATAATTAGCGTGTGCTAGATATTCTCAGCCGTTATTTTGGTGGTATGAATACGATTTATCTGAGCACAGACATTAGAAAACGTAAAATTTTATAGTTTCATACAGTTTTTGGTGGACTGCCGTGAACTGCTGCAGACGCTCGTGAATTCTGTGGACTTCTGGAGTCTAGGAGGCCGCATTTCTTCCTTGGATTAAGCACACTACTGATCATCATGCATTCGTGGTATGCTGTTTAATGAAGTCTATAAGTGACTTTGATAGTTGTCCCGAGTAGTCTAAATCAAAATTTACTATAGCTGTGGAAGCCATGCATTTAAGAGAAAGTTTCCTTCGAGTTTGCAGAATGATCTTTATCTCTTTTGCATGTGCACGATCAATCGGTGTTTCTCGATTTTCATTTACCGCATCCATATGAGCACCATTATTGATTAACTCCATGATAATCGATGGAACATCTTTATAATCAGTATTATGTATATTTCTATAATTTGCAATGATATGTAACGGTGTATCTCTCTTCTTATCGTTCGCATTTACATTAACACTGCAATCAAGCAATAATTTCACAGTTGAAAGAGATGGAAACCTAAAAATGGGACAAATAGAGAAGGTATGAATAATTTGTAAAATACGTACTTAAAGATTGTATTTTTATAACCAGTTTTATAGTCGACACATAAATGTAGCAAACTAGAACCATTATGTATAGTTGAGAGATTGAATCGATTTAAATGAGAAATCAATTTGTATATATGCATCTGTTCATCGTTGGTTTTGAACATTATCACCTAGAATAAAGAGATCAGCAAATTTGAATTCGTTTAAGCCCTAGACGGACTACCTTAGAGATGACAAGAATCAGGTACAATAGAGTATAACAATTGTCATCAAAGTTTTGCTTTTCTAATTGTTGTTGACTCGTATTTTCTGTACTAGCTTTCAGTGATAACCTATTCCGATGTAATTCTTCGATTGTATTTTGAAAAACTTGTATCCACACATCAGTGTTGATATTAACTTGAAGATCAATCATAACGCCGAAAGTTTTGGCAAATGTCAGTAAATCATGTTTCATCGAACTAACACTAATTTTTCTCAAATATAATACACGTAACCATAAAGACAGACAACGGTCAAATTTTTTTTCATCCGCATATACGGCACCCATAGTGCTAATGGAATAAATGACTTTACTACTCTCCGTTCCTAAAAGACGTTCTCGAATTACCAGTGTTTCCATATGTAATGCATCATGATTATGGCGAATTCGTTGAAGTTCTTCGATTGTTTGACATTCACAATGATTTTGGTAGGCTTCTATCGGGAGTTGAATATTTTTATTAATTAATTGGGTGTGATCTGCATATCGCAATTGCATGGCTTTCAACAAATAGCTATATACTTTTTCAAAATTAAATATACTAACATCGTCATTGGCATATGACGTAGCTAATAGTTCTAGACCTTCAATGCTTTCCTGAAGATCAGCCGTTTTATTAATAAGATAGTTCGCAATGTCCTCATTTGGTGTTAAAGCCGCCAACATCAAAGGAGTAAAGCCCCATCTGTTTTTAATCGAAATATCGGCGCCATTATCAATTAGACATTGAACAACGACTAAATGATCTTGTTCAGTTGCACAATGTAAGGCGGTAGAACCATCATTATCTGTCATATTCACCTTACAACCCTTTTCCAGAAGGTATTTACATATTTCCAAATAACCTTTATATGATGCTAACATAAGGCATGTGTCACTCATTGATGTATGCTGAATATTCACATCAGCACCATGATCAATCAGATATTTGGCTACGTCGAAGCTGTTAAAAAAACAAGCAGCTCTCAATGGTGTTGAGTGCAATTTGGTCCAATGATTAATATTTGCACCATGTTCAACTAATGTTTGAACTATAGGCAAATTACCACACAAAGCTGCGCACCATAAAGCTGTTACACCATCAATTATTTGATTTTCATACTTAATAAATCCTTCTAGTTCAACGTTGACATTGAATCGTTTAAGTATTGCTTCTACGATCTTATAAAATCCATTATTAGCTGCGAGTATCAAGATGTTGCACTTCGATTTACGATCTTGAATGAGATCGTTTATAAACAGGTTGATATATTCTGGACGTATATTAGCTAATATTGTTTCTAGAACGATTAAAAGTCTATCAGGATTCCCAGTGCGCTTGGCTTCACTGCGAATTATGCTATATGTAAAGTTTATTAATTTTTTTATTGGTTTATACTGATGTGTGTCGTCAATCTCTTTACTGAACGCCTCCAAGGTCTTTATTATATCAAATACATCTACTTTAGGTTCCAACATCCTACCATACGACCACTCCGTATTAAATTCTTGTTTACTATCACGATATGTCATCTTACCATGACCATGTCGACTACCGTTTCTCCACATACCTGTCAAACACAGAAAATGCTTACTACTGCGTTGTCAAAAATACATGTACCATTACCTTTGTAACTCATACCATCTGCATATTGAACAAAACCACATCCATGAGCAATTCCACCCTCTTTCCATTCTCCTTTGTAAACATCACCACATTGGCTTGTGAAAACGCCGAGTGTTTTTCCACCATTCCATCTACCAATACATGGATTACTACGTGATTGCCATGTTAGTATACCCATATGCCACTTATCATCAAGCCATTGCCCTTCCCATTCTAAACATGGTGACTCGAAGTAACGACACCGACCCTCTCCATGTCTTTTGCCGTTTCGATACTCCCCCATGTATTGATATCGATCATTCTCATAGGATAAGCTGGTAATGTTAACGTAAAATAACTTCATATCGATAAGAGGGGAGAAAACAGTGTTGTACATATCATATTCATACTGTTTTAAAACAGAATGTAAATAATTATCATTTGCCGACATATCACACACATGAATGTAATTTGAAACACGTTTTAGATTATTAATTCACTTGAGAGTTGTCGTTACAAATTGTCTGATGAGAAGCAGTTAGCCATGCAGCAGCAGGTGGTTTTGTTTTATTTATTGACTCATTCAGCTATTAAATGAAAAGTTGTTTCTCTTTCGATACAGGTGTATGTTTGCTGTTGTTATGAGTAATAAATTTTGAAGAAAAAAACGAAAGTTGGTCTTTTCTACTTCTTTTACAATCGACTTTTTCGTGCAACTTACACAGAGGAAACAGCAGCATATTGACTTTTACAACAAATATATTTGCTTATGTGATGGTTCGCATGCAAGTTTCAATTCACATTTTCGTACATCTGTATCGATAAAACAGTCTTTAACTACAGCAATATTTTGTTGAAGAAATGCTCTATTCTAAAGGACCGAGCTATTGTACCCCGAAGGAAAAATACTTCATTATTCATGTTATCTATTCTGAAGTGGATAGCCAACGATGATAGGATGATATTGATAGTAACTTTTTTCAATATGTTCTCTTGAAAAAGTAGATTTCAATATTTATGTAACACAATGGAAACAATATACAAAACTATCTTGTAACAAGATCTTATTGCATAAATTTACAAGATATTGTCTTAGGATGTTGTAAGATCCTGCGGAATCATATAACTTCTTGTCATAAGAGCTTGCAAGATCAGTTCATAAGACGTGACAGGATCTTGTAACACGACAGCGTATGATCTTGCAAGATCTTGTAAAATCTTGCCATTGAGAGGCGTGACTTATATTTATTTCTTATCGCAAGATCATACGATTTCTCGCTATAAGATCTTATATGACCTTGCAAGAAGCGATGACTCATTCTTATCACATAAATTTTTTGCTATGATATTGAGTGTATATGGGCAGAACCAACGTTGAGGGACATGACCTTCGTAAACTTTGAATCACTATTTATCCGAAGTGTTAAACTCTTTAATGGTGCTATTTATACCAGAAACATGTATCAAGTTGCTAACGATGCCACGAAAAAATGAATTCTGAGGATACTTATTGAGATTACCTTTTTCGCGAAAAACTACCTCGTTGCGGACGACGTGACTGAAAAAGATAAGCTTCTTTTGGTGTACGCGACTATCACTCGAAATTCTGAAATTGATAAAGTATGTCGCAGATTTTTAAATTACATGTTGTAGAAGAGACTTCGGACTACAAAACTGGCAGCAATGGCTTTTCTAAATCATTTGTATACTTGACGCTGAAATTCATTTAAGCCGTCGTTGCGGACCTGACAGAGTACGAAATCCAAAAGGAAGAAATCATTGCTATTACATTCTTGTCATCTGTAAAACTTCTACTTAATAGAAATGATACATAAGGATCTCCACATGGTAACTGAATATTAGTTTTTCAACTAGGTCTTCAGATGATCTCTAGAAAACTTTTTTTTGCCATGGTGGTTGAATACCTCCGATTTTGCTCAAAATTTTACAGTGAATGCCCACTCGTAATAGGAAAAATTACGAAATTCTTAAGACTGGATCCGCCAGCCCATCGAGAAAGTGCGTAACGTGCAAAAATTTGAAATATGATTTTTATTTGATTTTCAGATTCTACAATCAAAACTGGTTTTCGACAAAAGTTTTCGAGTAAAAATGTGTTGGACTTGGAAAATAAAAATCGAAAAAAGTGTCGAAAACTTTTTGTGTCTAAATAACTTCAAAGGTACATTGTCTGGCGCACTTTTTGACGCTGATCCCAAATATTACCTTATTTTTGTTGTAGAATGAAGTCTTGATGCCAAAAATCTGAAAAAACTGAAAAACGATGTCAGTCGGCCGTGTTGTTTTTAACTTTTCAAACTGTTTCAGGGGTTTTAAAACAAAGTTTTTTAGCTCAGTTTGTAGAAAATTGAATTTCCTATCTGATATCATCTTCGTATTTCTAGGGAAATTCTGTCTGGATGCTCAAAAGTGAATTTTGGTAGAAAAAATTTGTATTTGAAAATCATAATCTTTCACTTGATGAACCTCTTACAACATCAGTATTGAGTTTAGAAAAAGAAAAGGCACCGGATTTTGTTTAGTTTTTGATGGTCTTTCGAATGAAGCATTGCTTGTCCAGAACGGATAAAAAATGACGGAGTTATATCGAAAATATAAAATAGTGCTCATTTTTGCGATTCGTTGATGTACCTCATTTTGAAAACTCTGTAACTCGGTCAAAGTAAAGTCTGAAAGTGAACAATTTTTTTCGTCGCCCCAGTTTTGATTGTAGAATCTGAAAATCAAATAAAAATCATATTTCAAATTTTTGCATGTTACGCGTGTTTCGCAAAATACTAGCTTTCCTCGCGAATCGTCTCTTAAGAACAAAGAAATTAGTTTCGAGTCGCTATTCGCTAACTACTTTCTAATTAATTAACTAATTAGCTAATTAGTTTTAATTAATTACAGTTTTAAAGAGCAAAGTCTTCTTCATATATTCAAATAATAAAGAGTTATCCCCCAAAATAAGAGTAGGGAGAAATTCAAGATGAACAAACGGTGGTCATGTCCACTTTACGCTAATTTTACCCACATATATCAGAGACCGAATCGGATCTTACGTGGATAACCCGAAGACTTTTTTACCCGAACTCGAACCGACTCGAATCAATATTTTCTATGTGAGCCCGAACCTGACTCGACCCGAAGGCTTTTTTATCTGACCCGATCCTAAGTGATACGAAATTTTCGAAACTTGACCCGAATGACCAGAAAATTTTCTTTGGTGACCTAATAACTTTTTCTGGAAAAAGAGCAGAAGCCTACAGCTTTTGTAATAGCCTAGAACGTTTCTCTGATTTTTTTGTCCAAGTAGAAGTTCGAAGAAAATTCCCTGATTTATTTTCAAGTGGTAAGAGCCGAATAAAACTCGAAAATTTTTTTTCCTTTGACCCGACCCGAATCAAGATTTTTTCACTCAATCCGACCCGTTTCGGTCTCTGATATAAAGGATGGCCCAGAAGTCCTGATCCGATTTGAATAATAAATTTTTCTATAGTGAAACAAGTGGTTGTAAATTTGTCTCTATGAAGAAAAGATGCAGTAAAAAACGCTCTACAAAATCCGTACCTAAACTTTAATTTCAGAACTTCAATCAAGAAAACTAAGCAAATTATACACGAGGCGAAAAAAATAAAAACTTTGTAAATTTGGTTTGTTTTACTTAACCTTCTTCTTCT